GGGATTTCACGTCCAGGGCTGCCCATGTGGGGTTCCAGGCTTAGAAGTCTGTGGAAGGCTGCCCTCTGCCAGAGCTAAGCTGATCCCTCTCTCTCGAGATAAACCTTTAGACCCTTTAGAGGTGAGCCGACAGTTGCCTACAAGCGGCATACCTTTACATTCTTCTTATATTTTGCAGAAGAAGGAGCGTGAACTTACACTAAATAAATCAACAAACGCTTATACTACTGGCAAGATGACCCACCCCCCAAACATGCCAAAGGAGCAGACCCCGGCGGGGACCACGAACGCATCGGTCAGACCTTCGGAAGACAAGACTTCTGAAAACAAAAAGACTTACAACAGCATCAGTAAGATCGACAAGATGTCCCGAATCATATTCCCAGTTCTGTTTGGCACTTTCAACCTAGTTTACTGGGCAACGTATTTGAATAGGGAGCCGGTGATTAAAGGGGCTACCTCTCCGAAATGACCTGCCGTGCCCCCACACTCCGAGAGCCATACGTCCCGTGGACCAGCACCAAGGGGAGGTTGAGCTCGGGGACTTGCCATGTCTGGGCACTATCTTTCAGGAAATTTTTGCATGTTTAATAATATGTACAAATAATATTGCCTTGATGTTTCTACATATAACGTCTGATGTTTCAAAGATGTCACATTGATAAATAAATCAAACCACTTTGGTGACAATGGCTCTGACACTCAGATGCTCAGTATCTTACATTGATAGTTTACAAACAAGTATATTTTTAACTGTTCCAAGTGTTACCTAACAATGTTTTTTATACTTCAAATGTCACTTCATACAAATTTTCCCAGCAAACAAATATTTTAGGAAATGCTCCATGATTATTACTTGACCAGCTCTCAAAGACACAGAAATCACAGAGAGCACATTTTTTCATTGAAAAGGACACTGTGGGCATTTATGTACAAAACGAATTGCCTTTGATAATTCTTACTGTTCCGAAATGAAAAGTGCTGCATGATGTTACGTTAAGAAGTAGAATAAACAAGTATTATGCAGACAGATTTAATAACAGAAACACGTGGTATATTAGATGAACAGATAAAATATTTCCCCAAGGAAAACTTTAACTTCTTAAAAAACTTTTTTTGGTAGGGAGGGAAGAAACTTAACTTCTCTCCTCCCGATTTCTCCAACTAACTGAACAATGACCAAGGAAGAAAAAGAAACAAAAAGGAGTGTGGTGACAGTCCTGGCATTTAGCCCGAGCATCCACTGTCTGAAACACCGACCACACCTCGCTGCGGCCAGCGTGTAGCGCTTCAGTGGTGAGAGGTTGTAACTGAGTTATTTTCCGTTTTATTTCCTTGTATGTATTTCATGATTGACTTACTGCTCTGTTAGCTTTTGTATATGAACCTTAAATGTTCATTAAAAAATAAAAATGTGGATAAATGTCATTTTGGGGAAAAATATTTCATATTTGGGTGGACTTATTTTCTAAAAATGACACCAAGGACACCCATCAGAGTTTCCTGGGAAAAGCCCTCTTACTTGGCAGCTCACGTCTGTTCCACTGTAGTCCCTTTGGGCAGCATGTGGAGAGAAGGCCAGCTTCAACTACGGCGGGGTAAATAGGTAAAACCAGAAGTTCTTTCCAATGATGTATGTCTCCCTGGCCCGAGGCCCCGTGGGTCTCTGCTTGATAGAGCCCTTCCTGAAGGTGTTCCCAAGGTGGGTGCTTGCTACGGAAGAGGTGACTGCTCAGTCCTCCATGCCTTTCCTTTTGCTGTTTCTGAAGAGCGATACCAGGTCCTGCATGTGGACCCTCTACTTGCCCTTGGAGGAAGTATCCAGAACAAAGTACATGAAAGGAACACTTTCTGCTTCCTCTGTGACTTACTGGGAATTATAAAAGCGGAATTATGACTGCTGGCAAATGATATGAAAATGCGGCCTGCCTACACTGACTACTTAATGGTGCCTCTTTCTTTAAACTTCCTCCACCTCACTGTTTGATGAACACAGACGGGGTCATGGTCATGGCCATGGACACACATACAGGCAGATACACAGCAGGCTTTCCTCTTGAATAACCATTCATTCACTGAAAACCCCAAGTACTTATGCTGAAAAGCCTTTTCACAGGATTCAAGGTCAGCTATTATACTGTGTCAGAGATGCGCAGACTAGTGCATTCTTCAAAAAGACAGGTGCCCATTTTTGGCCTCCCTGATTCATTAACGATGCAGGGGTTCCATGGCCCCTTCTTTCCCTGGTTTCAGCCTCTCACAATAGAAAGGTGAAGGGCAACAAAAAGTGTGCTCTTAAAACCTCACCCCAGAAGCACTTCCCTGTTTTAAATGGTGCTATATTTGAAGAGTGATGTGTGTGCTTTCCAGTTTACCATGGCATTAAATCAGCCAAGGCCAAAGGCAAACCCGAGGCTGACTATGGAAATTCTGTTTTCATTTGCTGTTTACTAACTTTTCTCGTATATAGTCTTTGCCGGTTAGATCTGCTTTGTGGTTTGCAGGAAAATCTGCTTCAGGTTGGGTCTAAATGCTACAATACACATGCTCACTTTAAACATCAGAATCCGAACGGAAAATGATGTCTTCCGTATCAGGTGGCAATGACTTTCTTGACAAGTTCTAGGCTTTGTTACAGAAAACCCCAGGAGTCCTGCAGGGTGAATTCCAGTTTGAAGGTACACCTACTGCATTGACAGTCTGCTCAGCCTTAAATCTGATGACAATTCAGGGAAAAACATCACATTAGTCTTCTGCTGTCTGCTTTTGTGCTGTAGATATTTCAGAGTTATTTTTAATGAGGACATAATAAAGAATCACCTTGGGGACAGGGATAACAAGACAAGAAATAAAATTTTTGAAGGTAATTATAAATTATAGTGCCCTGCTTTTAGAGTCAGAGTGTGTAGATGTTTCTCTTTTGACATCATCATAAATAGAAAAACAGAACATTCTAATAAGTCAGCAATCAGTATTACTTCTCTATTTCTTGGGAAGCCATGGGTCTATCTAGGGCAGGTTATGGCTGAAGTTGACCTAAATGCTTGTATACAGTGATTGAGTTCAAATATTTCTAGAGTAACTATCAAAATTAGGGGATAAGTTAGGGGGAAAATGTTCAGTAAATGAGAAATCTCTATTTTATAAATAAGGATATTGAAACCCAAAGAGGTTAATGCATGGGCTCAAATCTTCTCACACATGAGAAGAAGATACAAGCTTAGATTTCAGCTCTCATGGTTTCTGATTCTGTGTTCACACCACCACGCAATTGCTTCCAGATGGAAGCTGATTTAGAACAAAAGTGTAACCCAAAATGGAAAGTCCTGCTTTAAGCGCTGGTTGAATGATTATCTATCAAGGATGCCCTCGAGATATTCTTTTACACTGAAACTGTGACCTTTAAGTCTGTTCCTGCTTATATAAGAATTCTGTGCTTCTGTGATCTTAGAAGCTCCTCTTGATAGAATGGACCTGTCAGGGAAGCAGTCTCCGAAAGATGAGAGAAGGTGGGGAGGGGGAGAGGGAGAAAGGAGGGATCAAGAATGCAGGAGGGGAGAGGGAGAGAGAAGCCCTGATTGACTGCAGCCCCTGTCTGGCTGTGATTGCTCCTTGCAGGCACTGATGTAAATGATTATGGTGACTGCCTGGAGCGGGGGGTGGGGTGGGGGGTGTCTACCCCGAGGGGAAGCATAACTAGGATGACACAGAGTCTTCAGTCAGTGTTAGCCTCCATTGTAAGAAGTAGCTTCAAATCAGAAAGAACTTTTTTTTTAAATTGGAAATGCCATAGTTCTCTCAGTGAAAACAGTATTTTAAATATTTAAAAATTAGCCTTAATGTCTTTTTTATAATATCAGCACATCTGGGAGAATCAATGCCGGGAGCAAACATGGTGAGTATTTGAATATGAATTACTCTGATCCTTGCAATTACTCGCCAGGTTTGCAGTGATGTAAGGTAATGCTTTTGAAGTACGCAAAAAGGTTCATTTCATCCAAAATTTACATGATTATCTGTTTGTCAACGTCATTTTGAATAGACTGTCTGCAACCAATTTCAGTGGCTCCATAGCTTAATTTTAAACGAGTATGGGTACTTTATAGAAACTTGTGATTCAAAAATATTTACGGCTCAGAATTTCCTAATACAGAAGTCCAAAGAAATGGGTTTCCTTCATTTTTCTGAGTTCAGATTGAAAGACAAATAAAACCAGAGATCAGATACTATATTTTGCAATGTACAACCTTAGAAAGGAAAATCTGAAATGTGCTTTAATTGACTCAATGTACTAATTTAAGTCTAATTTATTCCACATTCTTCGTGTTGCTACCACTCTCTCCCTAGCAGCCAACACTATTCCAGGCCAGTGACAGGTGCTCAATGAGCGTGAATTGGTGGAGGGAACGAAGACTGGAAAGTGGGTGGACTGGAAGCGCTGCCACCTCCCTGGGCAGGGGTGGTTGTATACCACCCAGAGAAAATGTGTTTGGAAGAGCATAAAGTACAAATTTCAGGGCTTTTTACAAACCTATCCATATTCGACATCACACTGGGAACACAACTCACACATGGTGACAACTGGCTTGGCCTGAGTAACAGGCTGACCTTTAGGCAGAGTGGCCATGCAACTTGCTACTCAGAGGTGAGGCTTCCAGATGGTGGGGTGAGCATCTCAGTAAATTCTCTCCCCTCAAAAACCAATGACAACTCGGGCAAAGTTATCAAAAGCAGCCATTTCAGAACTCTGTAAATGTAACTAAGGCACACAACAGATTAAAAGTATTTGTTGAAGAAAAACTGTTGAACAGTGAGGTCCAAGACATGTTAACTTAAGGGTACTCCCATCGCCCTCCCAGCTCCTTGACATGGTAACACGAAGACCAGCAGGCTTGCTGCCACCGAAGGGGGTAACTTGATTTGGAATGCCACAGAAAGCTGTCCCCAAGGCTTTGCCACCATTTGACCTGACTTAGAGCTCCAAGGAGAAGCTTTCTTCCCAGGGCGGAGCTGTTAACAACAGAAATCCGTAGCAGTCAGGGAAGGTAGGTAGTGCCCCTTCCTATGGCTGTGATGTAAACTGGGGCTAAAAAGAACCCAGACAAAAATTTGAAAAGAAATGTAAGGGCCCACATGTCCGTAGTGGGCTGTGAAAACCGCTGACATATTGCTAGGGATCTGGAAGGATGCATGCATGTTCAGGACTGTGTCAACAGTCAAGAAAGAGCACAGAGAATGGTGCTGATCCAGGAATGACACCCAGGAAGCCAAGACCAAGAACGAAACAAAATGAAAAACAGATTTCACACTACAGGAAATACAAACACTACAGAACTGGTCAAAGAAAGTTACTAAACAAAAACCAAATCTAACCCTCAATGACAAAAACAGTACAACAAAAACAAACAGTAGAGAGGAAGGGA